AAGCCGAATGTGTGCTGCCCACAGATTGACTGAATCTGAGTTATTAGAAATGAACGCTTACGCAGCTCTTGTGCTCCGTTCATACGTCACGTCGTACTGACCCCCCGAATATTCAGGCCTCGCATCATCCGCTTAGGAGCACCTTCAACGTCTTCCTTTATCAGTCACTAGAAGGCCTCCATTGGTAGGCACAGATCACGTTGCACAGATGATGATAGTGATCAAAGTGGCCAGGCTGAATTTCGGAAAGGGTCTAGTGACTTAAATGTGGTAATTGAATTTTTATTTAGTGAAAATTAACACAAGGTTTCATTGAGAAACTTGCTGAGCGTTGTTGAAGACCACAACTTTGTGAATTTTGACGTGACGTGACACACAGTCGTGACGTCATTGTCCCGCCAAATTTAGCGAGGAAATTGATGTCACGTGACACGAGGTCGCGACGTCACAAAGCCGTGACGTCATTTCTGTTGCCGCACACGAAAAATCCGCGGTACCCTGGACATAAACAGCTAGGCTCTAAGATATCTGATCCAGTTGTTCTCGATGACGCTCAGCAAGTGTCGAACTAAACATTTATGATTATTTTCAGTAATTAAGAAGTTAATTATTATATTGTTGCTAAATATTCTACTTACAGCGGCGATTGTAACACAATATTATACATACTTGGTTGTACAGTTCGCTTAAACAGACCGCTTAGTGTAGCTTTTAAGACTTTTTTTAATACATCTGCAAAGCCTGGGAAAACGCCGTGTATATGTACTAAACTTATCCGGGATCAGGTTCAGAAAGCCGAGTATATAGACATTTATTAATAATATACCCCTTACTTTAATGTTGCACAGGTTCTGCCATTTCATTTCAGTGAAGTGCTAGCCATTTTCAGACCGATTGACGTCAAAGTAAAAAGTAATTGTTTTGTGTATACTGTAAACGACGGAAATTTCGCGTGAACCTAATTTCGCGAACCGCCTCCGATTCGCGAACAATAGATCCCGCGAACAATTCGGGAAAAGTTTCATCGCCTTGAGAGCGGCATTGAGACACCGGGGAAACACGTGTCCAAAAAGCATAACGATATCATTATACGCGATATTTGAATATGATATGGAAAGTATCCTAAAGTAAATAACGCCATAAGTCGGAATCTTACATCATAAGTTCGTCATTGTAAACAGAGTGGGGCCCTCGTTTCCGCTTTCGGAAGTCCACGGCGGTAGAAGCGGCAATAACACTTTGATTGGCCGACGTAAAAAAACGCTTATCACGTGTGGTCGTGCATACCTGTGGGTCAGGCAGTCCCGGCATATGATGATCTTCTGCATTCTCGGCCACTGGCTTGAAGTAACGTAGTAAGGACATCGCGGGACAGCAGATTGACGGGCACAAGAAAACGTACCGCACTGACACAGAGCGTGCTGGCGTCGACGACCACGGTACGCAGCCAAGTTTGATTGGCGCCTAAACCTACTTTGAGTCTGTTTATATACAATCGTTGGACCCCATCGCCCTTTGTCGCTGGCCTTCCATGCAGAGTGTGTGACCTCGAAAAGTGAACCCAAGAAAGGTTAAGGGGACCCAGTTAGTCTGGACCCTTAACTTATTTACACACACTGGTTTGACCCCATTGCCCTTGGCGGTTGTCCTTTCATGCAGAGTGTGTGACCTCGAAAAGTGAACTCAAGAAAGGTTCACATCGAAGAAAACCAATGTGAACACTAACCCAGCCGTCTCGGCGTCTCGAAGCTGCGGGTAACGGCAGTGACTTCCGGACCATTAGTCACACAACCTACCGCCGTCTTCCCTTTTCTAGATTTTGACTGATTGACTGAAGCCGCAGAATCCTAGAAAGATGGAAAGACAACCGGGCAGGAAGGGGGGGTCTGGTGTCAGTCTGGATTCGCGAAAATAAGAACCCGCGAATAATTTTAATCTTTCAACTTCGGCCCGATTCGCGAAAATTTGAGCCCGCGAAAATTCCGTCGTTTACAGTATATACCAGGGGTTGCCATGCTGCGGCTTGCGAGCCGCTTGCGGCTCTTCGTGTGTAAAAGTGCGGCTTCCTCCCCCGCCCCACCACCCTCCCCCCCCTCCCACAAACTCCGCACCCTCCCTCCCGGTCGCACGACCACTTCCCCCAAAAAAGAAATGGAACGCTTTTTAAATCGAAAGGCAGGTTGCGGTTCGGTAGTCTTGTGCTACTGCTACGTTACGTACAGTTGGACTGCTTTGACTCGGATAAATTGAAAGTAGTTCGAGCTTGGTTTATTGCTCCAGACAAAATTTTGCCCCCCCTCCCCCCCCCCCCGCCCCCTCCGCCCTCGGCTCCTAAAAGTTTTGCTGTTTGGTTTGCGGCTCTTAGGCCGGGTCAGCCTGGCCACCCCTGATGTATATGTTTAATCAGCAGGAAGTTAGTAAACCCCCATCGGGGAATCCGGTGTACGAGCTGTACATAATAAAATTCGCCAGTTCTGCGCAACCGCTAGCCTGTAGGTTAACTCCAAAGGGAATCTGGTGTATAAGCTGCAGATAATATAATTCGTCAGTGTTGCACGACTGCTAGCGAGAGGCTTTTAACGTACATCCCACAGCAGCGACACACGACCGCTCGCCGGTACGATGCTCATCCAGCTCAAAACGGGTAGGGGTGAAGATTGAACCCAGGATGTCTGGGTTCTACAAAGCAAGCTTTCGCTCCACGATTGGAGCACCATACTGTTCTCAGTCTCAAGCTCCTAAATTTATATGATATTCACGTTATCAAGCCAGTTGTTGGTAGAAACATGTATCCAGCATTATACTCTAGGACCCACTTAGGAATTTAGTGTTGCCTTCCAAATATATTATCCGAAGCATGACGGCTAATAATTTATCTAAGCTTTTACAGGGCGTGAAAGTACAATTACTCTGAGAGGATTTCATCCGCCGTCGATAAAATTCAAGTATTACAATGGTCATTTCAAAGGTCGGCGCTAACATGTTTCAGTTATTTGATAAATTTGCATATCTTTGTCGTTCAAACTGAACCTGCAAATTAGAAATTTTGAAGTCTTTCATTTTACCACCAACAAAAGTGGTAACGAGTATTCTTTTCTGAGAAGAGCACTCTTGAATATCAAAAACCCTCTGGTTGTCTTGTTAATTAAGCCGCTCTATATCCATATGAATTTCAAAATTAAAGCAGCTATATCAATCGTCATTAGCGCGCTCACGCTAGACACCTCTGTTATACAGCGGTGAAAAGGTGAATAGCGTGCTGGACAAGAATGACGAAAATAATCCCTGGAGAAGGGGAACAAGAGGGACAAAGGACTTCACACCTTAAACCTTTCCTGCGCTCATCGCCCGGGAGAAAGATGCCGATGTCAGACGATTACGAAACTTCTGACAATAGCCAAAAAAATAGTGCTCATGCTCAGAATTCGTTTCTCAGCCCAGTGTACAAAAAAAAAATGGGAGCACCCAAAATACGATTAATGGAATTGGCCATACCCACATCCCTCCTTTCGTGAGGAGACACGTTGCCATTCTTTCAGGAGCGCGAATTTATTAACGGGTTCTATTCTTTGTTGCCCATTTCTAACCTTTACATTCTTCAACTTTGTTTGACGAGGCGAAACGCTTCTGCTTTTGTTTTCTTTCTCTCTGCTCCGTTCGCCTGAAAACCGATATCATCACAATAGATATAATAACGTTAACATGGGCATGACACATCTGAATAGAATTGACTCAACAGAGTGCCGACCGAAGCTTCAGCAATTGGGAAGGGGGTAGAAATGGAACGTCACCGCTGTTTGTCTTATTTACTCTACCTTCCTTGTTACGCGTTGCGTTACCACAGGATCAGGGGCGACAGCGTTAAGTAATCAGTTGGACAGCAAGGGAAGGAGGCACTCTTACCCGGACTTCATTTTCTTTGTAACAGAGGTCAATTTTATCCCCCTCGGCGATTGGCATGCTACCCATAATTCGAACAAAACCTCTCTCCCGCCGGTGGCTTTCACACCACTGCGCGCAACTAGTTTTATTACTTAGTCGAGAGTGGTGGCGATATTTTAACTCCTCGGCAGGCGCTCTGTCGAGTCAGTTAATTTTGCACGGACAATAAAAACACTTCAATATCCAATACTTCCTTTTTTTTCGGAATTAAGAAGCTCACGGAGAAAATACTTGGCTAGTTTATTTTAAGGGCACAATTGTAGGTCAAGGGAATTCGGAAACGTTGCGTGTTTGCAGCTCGTGAGGGTAAGGCTTGTAAGGCACAAAAGAAATATATACATGGCTTTTTTCGGCTGAAGAATAAGCTACGCATCCCCGAGCGCTCATTTTCCGCCCAAATGTAGTGCTAGAGGTCCGAACCAGATGCTGAAGTTTTGAAACTAACCACTATCTTATTCAGAAGTTTTAAGAGATTTTCCGAAAAGTTCAACGTGGAAATGGCGGCCGACGGAGCTGTCAAATACATAAAGCTCTATGGCTCCAGAAACTGAAAACAGGCAAAAATGGGCTCCATTTTTACATTAAAAATTTCATAACATCATTAAAAAATTTTGAATGAGATATCGGTCCGTGCTGAAACTTTGGCATCTAGTACGGACATCTAGAGCTTCATTTGAGTGTAGATTGAGCGTTCGGTGATGCATAGGATTTTGTTTTTTCGCAGTTAAAAATAATTAATATATTTTTCTGTGGACATCCTGTATATTTTACTGCAATGTAACGGAAATTAAGATTACATCTTTAAACATCCGTTACTAAACACGCTTGAACGAAATGCAATGGCGATATAAATGCAGCCTAATCGAAACGAAGATAAATTTTTTTTTTTCTCACATCTTAAGTGTAACAAGATCTGCTTCGCAAATTTAAGCAGAAAACAGATGCGTATAATTCGGGGGAAGAACTGAGGTCTATGAGAGTAAACGGTACATCGCCGCGAATCTTTATGTGCGGAAAATCTGACAAAGCTTGGAATATATATCCTAAATCACACAAACATGACAGAGTGGGTAAAACACACTAAGGCTCAATTTATTATTTTAAAAGCGTGAATGTTGGTCGTGATTTCTGGTGCGCCTTAACATACGTGGTTGGTAATTTATTAATACCTATTTTCTACTAAAATTGCAGAGCTCGGAACTTTCACAATGGGCGTTCAGCATCGTTGCCGCCGCTTTGGTATGCTGGCTGGGTCTAATAAGTCTACGGAGAGTAGTTCGACCCCAAACAAAGAAACAACCTCCTGGACCCTGGGAACTTCCTTTGGTCGGAAGCTTGGGCATCAGCAGCACCGCATCGTTGTTCCGAAGATCTGTGGAGTGGACGAAGCGTTACGGTCCCATATTCAGGTAAAATAGTTTGTGTAATAATAATGATTCCTTTATTTTCCAAAGTACGCAACGCCAAGAGAGAGGAGCTCAAAAAAGGTCTACACTAATAAAAGAAACGAAAAACAATTTTCAAAAAATCATTGGTCTACTTTGTGGAATCGTTCCACCTTTTACTACACCCGATTCTCATGGCCACAGTCCAGTCGTTTCCAAGGAAGTCACTCAACACAGCAAATGCAATCGAACGGCTTAGCAACTCACATTCCGACGCCCCGAACCCCGTTCCCCTCCAGTGGCGGCTGCAGCTGAACGGCTCCCTCCATGAATCGAGACAATCTACTGAAGACTATCTATGGGTCGAGACTCTCTCTATTCAAGACCTCCTATAAAACCTCTCGATAAAGGCCCCATAAGGAGAATCTCTCAATGACTTCTTCCTGCATACCGTCAAATCAAGGCTCTCAAACGAAGAATCCTAGTGAAGACCTTCGGTAAAGACCGCGAGTGAAGACCCCTAGACCCCCGCCTGCTATATCCTTAAATAGCCAGCCCGATCCCTTTGTCTGCCGCCCTCTCTCGCTCCTACCGAGACTCTCATGTCCATATAAGGCCACGGGCGTGCGCTACGGCACCTGTCCGGCAAGAAATCCCGGCTTTGTTCTGCAACGCGAACCTCAACGGAAGTTCACCAGTAGGCAAGCGTGGCAAGCCATCCTCGGCGCTGTTTAGGTGGCGGGGTTAAAAAGGTCCGAAATCGGCGGATAATGTAAATTTCAACATTGGAGACGATTGAGGAGTCAACGAGTGCCCCCATCGGCGGGGAATGGGGGCCTGGGCACCGGACACGCGGAGGCAAAGTCAAAGGTTCGGCAGAGCATATACAAAAAAAAAAAAAATACACTATAGAACCATGTAAACAAAGTGGAAAAAAGCTCGCTTGTGAACAAAGCAAGTTGCTGTTCAAATTATACGAATGCGTTTAAAATTGTCCTGTCCCGTAAGATGCTTCCGCTATATTGTCAATAACAATATTTATTGCGCTAAACTAATTAAAAAATGTTGTAAAAGTGTACGTAGCTGTATGCTGACCGTAAATTTTTCCCAAAGATTTTCACTCAATATGGTTCTACATTTTGTTAAATTACAAAAATTCTGTTCCACATTTATTGGAATCTAAACAAAGGCGTCGGAATATTTATTTCATATGAATATATATTGCAGGTCAATTTATATGAGCAGCGCCTCAAACAAGGTATCCATAATTTATACGAATAATATAAATCATATATTTATTGCTGGACGATGTATCATTTCTTTGAGTCACACCATGAAATATTGCGGACGCCCCTCGAAACGCATACGTATGCGCTAAACCTTAAAGGACACGTACGTCCTTTTCTCCTGAGCGTATCCAAGAGCAAGTTGTAGGACTAGGCGCTAGGTGAGATGTGCCGCAGTCTTAACAATGCCCCACAAAATCGGTGAGCGGATTAAAGAGGCTGATAGCAAACCAGAAGCGAAAAAGAATCAAAGAGACGGCGTGGGAGCAGAAACGACGTCTGGCTTGGGATAGAGCAGATATTTAATCGTCAGTCAACCGCAGAAAAGTCCTTCGCAATTGCACAAAGAAATATAGCCTCCGTAGAAGACAAGCAAAGCTATCGTATATTTAAGTACTGAAAGAATCGTCAAAGTGCAGGCGAGCTGGTGCGTAGAAATCATGATGTTTAATACCTGAGACTGGGAAGGAAACTTGGGGATATACTAGAAGAGGCAGAAGAAAGGGGACAGAACTTGTGGATGACCTTGGCAAAAGGATACAAAAGCGTTCCTTGAACTAAATTTTGCTAGGTGTGTTTTAGACGCTTGTCTGTTATCTTTCTTTTGTCTCTTCTAATATATCTTCATGTTTCCTTCCAGCGTCCGGCCTTAAACATCATGATTGATATCTAATTATTCGGCAGCAAAGCTCCACTGGAACATAAGCAATTGCCCTTATTTTGTTCTTGTTTGAGGGGGCGGGGGGGGGGGGAATTGGGTACTTTGAATAAGTTAGCTTGCGAAACTAGCCTCTATTAAGTATTTTATTTTATTACTCCACGCATGAACTGGAAATGCCCAGCTGGTGACTTGGTAGTTGGAATCCTTGAAGCGCTAGTCTCCTGTCGCGCTTCTCGTGGTTGTCATCAGGGGTCCGATACTGTTTCTCTAATGTGCCACTCCAGTCTCTTTTTCTTCCTAGTTGTAGCGGTTGCTTTAAGTACAATATGATCTCTCATTACGTATTTGCGGTAATATTCAGATTCAACGACTTGGGGTGGAACAGAATCCATATTATTGCGTTTCATCACAATCATGGCTCATTGTGAATTGGAATTTAAAATATAGATATTGTATTGAATTGTATTATTTAATATTCACAATATAAAAGGCGTGATTGTCGTTTTGCTCATTTCAAAATGTTGCGCATTCGGAGCGCTCGTTGTCGAAAAAGCACAAAATGACCAGCTTTTGTGAAAGGATTTTCTTTAACTGCTTCGTTGTTATTTTCTTTTCGGTGCCCCTCGTCCTGTCACACTCACGCGCTCTGTCATATTATTAGAAGACGACGAGACTAGGAGCTCCCGCTGCTCCGTGTGCTTTCAGTCACCCTTGTAGAGGAAACCGAGCTGGTATCGATCAAACCGTCGGCTTTCCTTTCGAGGGTTGTGTGGAGCTATATTTTTCGGACTGGGCGTAAAGCACAGTCGGTTGTCATCACAAATTCATTTCCAAGCCACCAAGCAAAATTCAGAAAAAACTAAATTGCAATAGGATGTAGTAGTCTTGCACCAAAGAATTAACAAATGTGTTTGAACCAGCTCCAATGAGCAAAGGAAGTGTATTCACAGCCCTTCAAGGTTTCAAAGAATGTTTTTTTAGTATGCGAATGCAAGCTAAGCAAACCAAATACGACCTACTCAAACCATTAAAAAATGAATTAATATGCTGATAATAGGTTTAAAGAAATGATGGCAGCATTTTTCTCCCCCTTCCCCACTGAAAAGCGTTCCCAGGCCAATGGTCAGGGCAGGAGGGCCGCACTGAATCAATCGAAATTTTCACAATTGGCTTTATAAAAAAATGAATCGCTTTTATTGGCTTCAAATAAATTGAAATTAAATGACAATAACTCTAATAAAAAGATAATATAGTAATTAGGGTAAAGAGATTTTTAAACTAAGATGTGATGCGACTTGTGCTTCGCTGAGAAGGCAAGTTATGGGACACATTGTGATCGGTGGAATCCTAACAGACAAGAAACGTAAATTCGACAAAGAAAGTTATCGACTCTCGCAACACTTTATATTCGACTTATATGTTCCCTCCGCTCTTTCAGGGCTTCCACGAAGCTTTCAAATTTGACATTCAATGGTGATTGTCAGTAACAATCAAGAAAAAAAAACGTTTTAGATTTAGGAATGCCAAAGCCCGCGTAAGACGCATGACGTGTGACAGTTAACGCCGACGGTGATTCAACAATCTCGAAGTCATCGAGGCAGCTGGAATTCCTTCCGCAGGCCAAGCAATCTGGTCAAGGGGTAAACTGAATTGGATTAAAAGGAAATAACAGAGTCCTAGGAGCACCATGTTGGAAATCACGTAACGGCTTTGTTATACTGTGTACTCTTGAGTCATGTTTTATGGAGGTTACTCAGGTTCACGCTGAGCACATAATTTAAGGTAATCGTGCAGAGAGTATACTATATGGAAAAATGGTTGTCAGAATACTATATGATATCTAAGAAAGTTGAAGGTGAGACCTTGGTTCACCATGAACCTGAACCGCAGTGTATTATGAACACCTTGCTTTATAATGGTCAAGAATTAAGTAAATAATATCAATTAGGTTTAATACGCGCTTACAAGCGTAGTATCAATATTTCAAAAAGTAACATCCAGACTGCCACAGTTTAAAAATTTGCTGTGTTCTAGACGTTGGCTGAGCATCAACAGATTTTCAAAGTCGAAATGGAGCTTTAAACATTCACAGTGAACCTTTATTTTGCATAACAAATTGCCGTCTTTTTTCTAAGTTTTAACATTTAAACGATTTATTTTGCAGAGTAAAAATTGGAACGGCTAACGTAGTCATTCTGAGCGACGTGGACCACATCAAAAAGTTCTACTCTTCAAAGAGTGGCGTGGTCCGCCCTTCGAATGCGATTCTTGAGGAACTCAGACCCAGTACCAAACGTAAGTGCAGGTTAAGTTCTAGCCAATTCATATCAGTAGTCTCGGTCACAAAATGTTCCCTGATACTTACCATTATTACGTATATTACGTATTTGAAGCCTCAAACGCCTAAACTAAACAGTCTCTAATGTTATCGAACCCTCAGGTCTATGAGAGAATTCATAATATTTTCTCAGCATTTCATATTAAGAACTCGCGACACCGGATTTTTAGCAGAATGCTGACCGTTTCTTCATTTCAAAACAGATCGGCAAAATAGTAGTAATCTATTTAACACGTTCCTCTGCCGGTGTAAAATCTGTCATAAGCAAATAGAAATCGTAATCGGAACAATGTTATACCACCTTTGAGCTGTAACAGTGTTTTCTAGAATCGGCTTGAACTCTATCCTTTATGACTCTTGAGTTATACATTTGCTCTTTTTTTTCGTAATCTTTTTGTATGATTTCAACGTATTATCTGTTTTTTTTTTTCATTTTATTGTCGTCCTGGTAATTATCAGTGAGCTGTTGTCTTGATACTGTATTGACCGTTCGTACACACTGCAAGATTGCATTTGAGGCTTTAATCTCGGCCTTGTCTATGATATCCGCAATTTTCGCTTTAACTTGACTTCTTTTTTTTTACTTTTCAAGAAAGCATTACCTTTATTTTCTACTTTACATTGCGGAAGCGGATGTTCCCTCCAGAGTCGAGATTATCTTAGGACGGGTTGGTCACAGAGGCCTGAATTTCTTAGGCGTCATTTCGACATTGTCCATAGCCGCGTCTTCTTTTTTTCTCCCAGGTGTCGGCAACACCTTCTTCTAATAAATTCATTAGGAAGAAGCATACAACAAAGGTGTATACAATGTGTTCACAAAAATATACGTAAGGTTTGATAAAGGGGAAATTGTCCATGAACTTCGTTTTCAAACCTGCGCTGTTGCCGTTGCTGGCAGTCTGGATCCGGTCGTGTTTGTTTTTGTTTCGTTCATCAACGGAGAGCGCGCTTCTCCAGAAAATGTTATATGATGAGATAGTCTCCTCCACATAAGCTGAAGGTCAAATAAAGAAACTACGTAGGACGGGCTAAATTTCGCCATAATCTATACTTATATTGATACTCTTGCGCCTTCTACACTCCGAAACACTTCGGGGTCTTCTGAACACGCACAACAAGCGCGTGTTGTAGGCGAAAGCTCTGGCGCATTCTTGACTGGAAGATATTATGTACTAATGAACAAAATACTATATTTCTTTAGCCCCCTGCCCCTTCCTCTCCGGGCCACGCCTACATGCGGTATGATATGTGAACTGTGAAAACGATTCCCGCGACATCACTTCCTGCCACAGGGCAGAAATCGCATTCATGTCAACATGACAGAAAGTGCATCTTAGTGATTTCGGTTGACGTAATCTCCAAAGTTGGTTACAAAACCCAACGTAAACGATTAGATATAGATTTTTTGAATTATTTTTACTAGATATGTGCGAATAGCGGTTTGAATTAGATTGCACAGTGGCATTCCTAGATTCATCTCTATAGGAGATAAATCTAGGATGTCGTCTCTTTCGCATGCACTGCCAAAGCTATGAAGACGCACCCGAACCATTATTTGCTCACCCCTAATTTTTTACTTATCCAAGTGAAAGTTCCGGGGTGTTTGAGTTTGTCTTTTACACACAGTAAAAAGCGGTAAATATAGCTAAAGAAAGATTATATTCGGTTCTGCCTCCTCCAGTCACGTGACATGTTGCGATCGCTCCAACGCTGTGACAGAATTACAACTCGATGAAAATCTGCCCACTGCGGCAGTGCAATAGATTCCTTTTGAAAGTCACATTTTCATTATTAAAATTTCGGAAGCACTCCACAATGGCCAAACAATTGGCACTGTAGAACGTGCAAGCCATTCCATAAGATAGCTAACATCAGAGCGCGGGAAACGGTACGATCCAACGAACCAATCAAACGACATCGAAAGCGAAACATCACTGTGCTCATCGCATTTTTCTGCGTGTGTCTTTTTGCCTTTTAATCCAACCAAACGCTTCCGATGTGAAGTTACGTTTCGGGTTTAGTTCTCTATTGTGTAGGGATTCTACAGCTGCCATAAGCTTTTGAAAAGAGTCTATAGACCTTTCCATCACTTATCACATGGGCCGAAAATGCCGAGTAACTGAGCTGTGGGGGCATGCGCAGCGTTTGATATTTCGCACTGCAGAGGAACAGTACATGCTCAGAAGGCGTTCCACAGCCCAGAAGACAAAGATGGCAGCGCGCTGAAGGCGGTTTTGCGAGTGTCTATACTCATCGTAGTAGCGAAGCTGAAATCGCTCAGCGCTTGAACAATAGCCGCTGCATGTTGAACTCACTTAATACAGGGATTGATGTGAAGAGTAGACTATACTTTTTTTTCAACCTATGTACAAGGAGTGCACCTACATTCCGCGGCACTCTTAGCGCGAACATGTCATACGGGGAAAAGTTGGGCGAGATGGTGCTACATGTTAACAAAGAAATAAACAGCGCCAAAAATAAAGGAGGGGAAGATAGAGGTGAAACGCTGACACTCAACTGATTTATTATAAAGAAATACAAATCTTCGTTAAATCCGAAACATAACATGCATCTAGTCCCCGTTCCGCGACATGTGTCAAACCTGCTAAACAATGCCAACTCTTTGTTGAACAGTGCAATTGACGCCGAACTGACACATCTGTATTTGTTCTTCGAAATTTAAAAAAAAACTGCGAATTTTATACAGTCATCTGATGACTGGGACGTCCTATAGTTGTTATTTTATCTAATAACGTGCTACAATCAGACCTGTCACAGTTCTGCCCGATGACAATGATTTGATCGATAGAGCATGCTCTCCTAACCTCTCATTAACACATCCGCCAGTTCGGTTTGTATAAACTTTTGCGCAGGACAGTTTAATTTAATGATGTAAACTACACCGACGACACAACGCACGTTCATTATCCTGTGGTTTTTCCACATAACAATCTGCTAGCTCTCCTCCTGTCAGCTTTAACGCATAGACGTTCCAACTTCGAAGGCGCCGAGAAAAACCCTGGCACATCATGACGTTGCGCTACTTTTTGAGGCTGTGCGAAACCTAATGTGCAAATGGCCTTACCAGGGTTTTCCCTTTAGTCTTTCCTAGGGCAACCCGTGCAAGAGTCTCGAAGACATTTTGACAAGCTTCCCGCCACTCTTGCCAGTAAGCCATCCGGATAACCTCCATATGTGACCCTTGTTGCCTCATTAACGAAACTAGTCAACAATCGGCAAGGGCATGGCTCAGCCAATGCCCGTAGGCACACCGCCGCGATCCCCCTCTTGACCAGTTTTGGGTGACTGAAACCAAAAGGAAGTACGCTCTTCTCGCTTCTAGGTTTGTAGCCCCAGCACACATATGCCTCCCGAAAGTGATGTTTAATGTCTAAAAACTCTCAGAATAAATCTACTAGGTCTTCTCTCGATAAGCTTATCTCACCATGGCATTCAATTTTAACGCTCCTAATGTGTTCTTAATAAGAGGAACTCCTCTACTTTGAAAAGAATATTTTTTTTTTGCAAAACAACACCAGGTAAACATCAACGTATCTAAGCACCCTGATCCCATCACTTACAACATCGCCTTCAATAATTCTGTCGCAGCTCCTTGCTTCAGCAAAAACTGAGTACCGTCATAGGCCACGCACGTAGACTTGAAATAAAAACACAACACATCAAAACATTGTCTTCGCTCACACCCCAGGCATTTTGAAATAAAATTGTCCCGTATGCCTCAATGCACCCTGTTACCGCCAAAATCAATTGCTGTTGAGGTACAGAATTAAACAAATTTTCGGAGTTAAAAGACACCGCGTCTCACGTGTCTAGGTTCACGTAATTTAATAACTCAACAAGACTCACCGCACTGTTAACCCGGAAAGGGTCTTCCAGATGGAGGTACGAAGGTTCTTATTTAGGAATGACGCCAAAAGGAAGCGCCAAGATAATTTTTGGGTGATTATGGCCCGATAGGGAATGGATTTTTTGTGCGACTTCACAGTAAAAGTAACATTAAGTTTGAAACCTTTTCTTTTGGATCGCCATCATAAGTTTCTGAAGACCCTTATCCGAACACAACTACAATGCCAAGTTGTTTTACTTTAGTGAATGTCACATTTTCAATCTTTTTATAGATTTTGCAAATGCACTCACCAGCCTTACCCAAAAAACCTCCTTAGGGCACAGGAGCAAACCCTCCTTCTCTATCAGCAAGCAGTAGCTTAAGACCCTCATTCTACGCAACACGATTCAACCCTACTTATATTAGGCATTGCTTTGCGACTGCCCATCATATCCCAGGAGTGTCAAACGCCCTCCAAAAAAATACATAGTTCCTTGTCGGCTTCTTCTGCTCTGGCAGCCCCATTTACAACCAGAGAAAAGATGTTTCTGTGATTGCACAATCACTTCAACGGCAAACTTGGACCTTTTTTCAGAACTTTCACTACATCTGTCTGCAAAAATGCACCCCCCTCTTCCCGCCCCCAACGCCACTGCGGCCCTCCACTTTTCTCTTCCCAGTACTTCCAGGAGACACCCTTGCCCGTTGCTTTAAAAAATCGGTTCTAAAGGTCGCCCTTTCCAGACATCCTTGCCATGACCGAATTGCCGCTTTTTCTTCCTTACGGACGGCGTAGCACTATACCTTCAGTAAGTCCTGTAGAAGTCTGTCCTGCCTCCAAGCCTCAGGGCGTAAAATCTTGGCGACCCGCTTGGCATTTCGGTTCATAACCGGAAAATTGCATTGTTTGATAGAGTTGACATTTTTGACAGGTTTGACATCTGTCGGGAACAGATGGCTTGCCGCATTTTATGGCTTACGTTTCAGGTCGATTTCTGTTACTTCAAAATAAATCAGTTGAAAGTCAGCACCCCGTGTTTGTACTCCATCATCTTGTCCTTCGTTTTAAGCGCTATTTATTTAACCATGAACATAATATCGCCAGTTTTTTGTTTCTCTCTCAGCATTGAAGGGCTGTCATCATAACAACTATAATGGTGGAAAGTACTCAAGTAAATATATATATCTTAAATTGCAAATTTTGTTTCTGCCAGGACCAAGTAAATTTATAAATAAACGGCCGAAGTCGTGTTTGTGCAAACAGCGTCTCAAAGTGTATACAAATCAACTGCTGCATTGCTAAAAAAAAAACAATACAGACACCTGCAACAAATGTGGTGTAACTGAATATCCCCAGCATCTTGACGAGCTCTAGGGATTTAAGCAGCGGCAAGTATCTCGGTTCAGCATTAAAAAAACACTACTGTATTCGGGGACGTTTTTTGGCAATGTAGTCAAAGGTACGGGCGCGCGTGCCCTCCCGTTTTAGGGTCTGATTAAAGCTGTGCGTGCACTTTCCTTCTCTCCTCGGAAATGCCAAAAAAAAAAAATCCGTACCCAAGTATAGTCCCAGAAGACGTGGATGAAACTGTTTCTATTGCTGAAAATGGCTCAAGAAAGCAACCCCAAAATATATTTCGGAACTTCCAGGAAGCCGCAGGAATAAAAGATCAGTCATAAATTACGCATCGTAAAAGTAACGGGATAATGTAATATTTTTCACAAATATTTTTTATCTTCACTTTCACAACTTATGATGTATATCTTACTTTACTCCTTTCCGGGGTTGGGACGATAAATTATGTATGTTTTATTTCAATGTGTTGACTTTAATTCTTATTGAATACGATCCTTCTGACTTTGACTGTGCTGAGTGCGATAGCGCAGTCTGCGGACGTTCCGCAACTTCGTCTGAAGATATTTGATTAAATTGCTCTTCCAGCGTCAATAAGAAAGCTGAAGACTTTCTGTTACTTCACTGGAGATACGTTAGTTAACTATCTATTGGACAGTGCTATGGGATCGTCCGTCGACGTTTTGTTGATTTCATCTTGACATTTTCAGTTGGCATTCTGTAGCTATTTATGAATATAAAAGGTACCTTTTATATTCATAAATAAATAAAAATTCATAAATAACATAAAACATACCTTTTGTGGACTCAGCGTTGAATCTTTTCAGCAAATTGTCTGCAACCAATAGCCCTACCAATGAAATGCTACAAACTAAATATGTGTATATTTATTTTTAATCAGTTTTTATTATTGTAGTAGTTTTTTTTTAATGCAAACTCGTGTGTTTCGATAATACCATAAATGTAACAAAAAATACGTCGAAATAATATTTTAAGCATCTTGCTTAATCAATGTGTTTTTATTGGTTTGTTCAAAATAAGGATCAGTAGGCTATGATATTGAATGTTCCATCTGGTTGTTAGAGCGTTAACTGAAAATACGGATTGGTGCTCAGATTTCTTATATTTTTCGACACTAGCCCTATATGAGAAAAAGCAGTGCCATTAAATTTTATTTATTTTGTGCTGTTGATTGCTACATTATGTGAAAAATATTTTTCATTAGATGCGTACATTTACTATTAGGCTTATTCTTCGACATTCAAGCGTTTGAGCGCTACAGCGTTTACACTGTAATAATAATGATTTTCCATCAACCATTCTAAACCGCTCGCAGACTGCGAAGCGTTTAATACGTACTAGGTAAAGAAGCATTTTGCAACATGGTTTCACTAAAAACCCAACCAAGAATTTCACTAGATTTTGCACACGAATAACTTTGATTCAATGCGATTATTTATATATTAGCGAATCTTTAGTTGTTCCAGGCATTTCTAATCTTAACGGAGAAGCGTGGACGCAGAACAGAACCTTCATCTTGCGTGTATTTGGAGACCTGGGCTTTGGGGAGCCTTCAATGGAAGATCATATCATGGTAAGCGATCGGTAAGACTCCGTTCTTTGCTAGAATGGTAAGAGCGCGCACAATATCACTATCTTAAGTATGATGAGGAACACTTTTTGATGTAATGATCCCGAATTTAAGTCATTACATGTTGCACAGTATACATTCCAGTTCAGAGATCAAGTGTACTTATAGCGATCTCGGCAACGTGCCCAAATCAAGGCAATCACACATTTTGTTAATTGTTCAAATCCACTGTGCTGGAGATGTCTCCTAAATGTTATAGTATATGTGTAAAATTTAAAAAAAAAATCTTCGTTGATGGTGACATTTTTTTTACAAACTTGCTCATTTCAAACTTGTTTCTCCCATTAGATTGAACAATCCCAGTCACATTTATATATAAAGTAGCACACACCTTACAATTCTCATTCCACAAAAAAATAGGCGGTTGATCTGACCTTTGAGGATTAATACAGGGATCACTCGTCAATATAGACACCTACGTTCCCCCAAAAATTCGTCCGTAATGTGAGTTGTCCATAGTAACGATCCATAAATGCACGCATTTTTTCTGTTTGTTCCCAAAAGTTCTGTCTATATAGCGGAGTATCCCTGTTGACGGGGTGCATATACACGAGACATCACTGTTTAGCATAGTTTCTGAATTCGGCTTAAGAAAGCACGTTTGCTGTTAACTAAGGAGCAATGATAGAATTTATTTATATTTTGACAAATCTTAGTGAATCTGACTTGCCGTGCTTGATGTTGCGTATTTATGTGTGAAAACAAGGACACTAAAGAAAAAAGCTGATCAATGTAGCACCGTTACCTTAGAAATAATTCCCTCCAAACAATTATATGACCGTTGACGGGCAGCCAGTTATAACGTAGATCGGCGGTGCATTGCGTAGGATGTAACGTTGCCCCAAGTAATGACGACAAGACCAACTCCTATGTCAGCTCATCTCATTCGTAGAAAATTTTATAAAATATGTAGGACCATCGCAATACCCCCCGGCGGATCATATCATGTAGCATAGTTCGATTTACTTCCGAGACTCTTCGGTGAATTGGCTGTATGCTGCGTGCAAGTGTCGCAAAACGCGTCTTTAGCGCATCAGCACGCAAGGAAGAGCGTGCCTATCAAACGGCAACATAGATAACGCGCATGAAAGGCGCGATGACGAGACGGCCAAGCGAGCGACGTCCTAAGTTAAGGTCGGGGGTAAACAAAAGAGCATGGGAGCGTTTGGGAGGTAAACAAACGCACAAGTTGCTCAAGCAGCGGACAAACTTGCACACTGTTTATTAAAAGCATCACCGAAAGCGTTTTCAAGGAATCTTACATTTCGTGACCCAGAAAAAAATGTATCTTTCATATTGAGTGGCGTCCCAACAAAACTTGCCTCTAAGATCATTTATTTGTATTATTCTTTTCACGAAGCCTGTCTTGGAGCTTTTAAGCTGCGAATAAGTACTGATTTCCTTGTTAAAAATACGAAAAATATTATTTGAAATTATATATCTTGACAGCGTTACCTTTGTATGGACAAAATGGCCACAGTGATTCACTCTTCAGACAAAAAATACTGCAGGTGCAGTGTGATTTTTGTTTCTTCTTGAGCGCAGCTTTTAGGCGGCCTTTTCAAACTTCACTGGCGTCGCCGTCGCCGTCGGCGTAAAAGCGTCGCATTATGGAACGCTTCCCATAATAACGTTACACGTGACGTCACGAGGGTAACGAGTGTCGTCACGAAAAAAGAGGGAGGGGACGGAAGAAGGGAAGGAAGAGGGGTGGAGAATTAGAGGAGGAGGATGGATGAGGGGGAGAGAGAAGAGGAGGGCGAGGAGAGGATAAAGAGGAGGAGGAGAGGCATACTCTCTTCTCCATACCTTCGCCTCCTCCTCCTCCTCAAGAGCTGCGCTCTAATTCGGCATTACAGGGGATTGTTAACGCCTTTCATTTTTTTTTCATTTTCAATAAATTATATTACTGCATGAAAAACAAATGAGACTCCCCAAGTTTTCAAGTTCAACATACGTTTTGTTTTGTGGCTTCTATCTAGACAAAGAGCGGCTGCGTGCTGCTTGATAGCCGCACTCGCGTGAAATATCGCGTTTGTTAGGTTTTACCAGAGATGTAAAAAAATGTTTGTTCATTTCCGTTGCGGTTTTCTTTATTACTCAGGAAGAGTTGCAGGAGCTGGTCAGCCGAATATCTAACACAACGGGGTGCCTGATCAACATCAAGGATTACATCACAGCCAGCGTGTCCAACATCATCGCTGCTGTTATGTTTGGATCCAGATTCAAGATAGGGGACGCCGAGCACGACTACTTAGTAAAGCTTGTTAGAAGCGTCCTGGATGGTTCTGAATCTGGCTTGATGGTAGACAAGAAGCCAAACTGGCTCAGTAGAGTCGCGACCAGTCTTCAAACGAAAGCACAAGTCAATCAGAAATCTCGGTTGATGATGCAAGATTTTGTCAAGTAAGCGCCTAAGTCTCCTCAGAAAATAAAAATAAAAAATAGACGCTCAAAACTGCAACTTCTACACACCTACTCCGGTTTCACGATACATCTCGAATTATTTTAACGTTTGGTGCATCTTTCAAAAAATGCTCGTAGGAAAAAAAAAAGGTTCCGCTGGAACCAATTTGTACCTGTAAAGAGTTACTAACTGTTAACAACAATTCTAGCTAAGTCTAAAACTGATTATACAAATGAACACATTGAGACATAGCAAGAGTATAGAAAGAATTATCTTTTCTAATTGTATGCAAGCTATACTTATTAAACAAATTATAAAGGCAAAGGCAAATTTGTTGTGGAACAAAAATGGCTGTAAATGAGCTATGAGATCATTTTTCTAGTTTTGCTAACTATTACTTAGAATCAGTACCTAACGTTAAAAACTAAGAATACTTTTTTGTTTTCTTAGGCAGGGGCAGTTGCTTAAAATATTCGAGAAATATGAGCATCGCTCATTCCCTCTACACGGAGCCTAAACAAGCGGTCATGTGGCCTTGTTCCTATTCTGTGCGAAACGCCACTACGTCTTCTTCTTTTGCCGGGCGTTTCAGGGAATTCAGAACACCGAGTTTTGATTGGCTCTGATTGAAGGATACTGGGTCGATCACAAATCAACCTGCTTGGAGGTTTACCCACTATCCTGCAATTACAGCCAATGAGAGCTCGGCGTCGTTATGACGTCAACGCAACAAGTGCACAAGAAGCAGACAACTTCCTCTCCGCATACCGCCAACGATAATCATACTCACGCCCTGGGGTAGGCAAAATAGAAAACGCGTGCTGAGCTCCAGGCATTGTTCGGATATTCTCAACACCGCTGTGGTTGGACACCAGCCACAATCCGAGTATGCGCCGAGGCATTGATTGTTACGAGCCGAAGTCGAGTGCTCCCGTAGTTCTCTTGCCCAATCCATGTGCCGCACTCGACTGGCGCGTGGTTTTTATCCCAAAATTACGTCATCCAGCTTCCTGAAGGGAAGATTGAGAGGAAGGCCGTGTTCCAAAATTTACTCGATCGCACTGCAGGGTAAGGGTTTTGTACCCTTGGCGTTCTAAAACGTACCTGCGCCCAGCGTTTTTCAATCTGTGCTGTCACGTGATACGATCCGCCGGAGTAACTCGGATTCATTTGGGTAAGCTTTGGAACACAGCCGAAGAGTCCACATTCATTCTCGCAATTTCACCGCGACAAAAAACTAAGCTTTTGGATCAGTGGTGGTCTGCGCGAGTCTGCTTGGGGCAGTCTAGGACAAGTTCGCTTCTGCATAGTCATAAACTGGACAACCTCATATCGATTGATGGCCCCTTTAACATGGTTCTTTGCCAAAGAAGGCACAGAAATATTCGGTAACCTTGCCTGGTGGCAGTTATCGCATTAATATTTTCTCAACAAGGTAATTCTATTTTAAAATAGCTCAAGTTTGGCCTAGCTACAGACAGTGATTCTTTGGATAATGCCGCACAACATATGACGTATCGACAGACGCCCTCAAGTTGCCCTTGCCCAGAACTTCTTCCGGCCGCTTTATTCATCGGTAGACACACAAATTGAAGAAAACAGCTCGAAATAGAGCAGAAACTACCATAACAGCAGGTTGCTGGCTCGGTCCGCGCACAACGCATTCTCAATTATTTTACTTTGTTAATTTACCGAATTTTTGTATCACCGCCGAATTGAGAATAATGGCTCTTGGCTTTTGACGCCCAACAATGGCGCCCAAAAATTTTTGTTTTTATTAGCGGAGTTTGTTTTAGCTACGTCAAAGTAAAGACGGTTTAGGAATTCCCAAGATATCTTTACTGTTCCCGGCATGATATTTGTTCCCTAAATTCAAGGTAGCTATTGAGAAAACGGTAAAAAAGAGATACGCAGAAACCACCATAAAGATTTTGCCGGGCTTCCTATTGGGGTGAACAAATGGAACCGAGACAACAAGGCGTGCGCCTTTCGCCCCCAAACGTCATCGCTAGTGGATCCACGCAGCGCCACCTAGTAGTTCGCGTCAGCGGCGCCGCCGACGCGTATTTTAGCGCTTCACAACAAACGCGACACTTGAGCACGCGGCGACGCCAAGAGCGTCGGCGATGCTCGTCGAACTTCGTCGTGTGTGCCTGCCGCCTGGGGCGGGTCGGCGCGATTCAAGAACAATGAGTGTCATGCACAGGCCTTGTGTCATAGGTGGTATTGGGAGACGTCACACATTGATTGACTTGCGAAACGAGCAGGAGGTTTAAGAGAAGGGTATTTTGCGAGTGTTTTTGTTTTCTTTCTTTCTCGTGCTGCTGACACGAGTTTTTTTCAGCTTTCATTTAACACCGTCACACTCCTTGTACCACCTGGGAAAAGGCTTCACTGCCGGGTCCCGTATTGCAACATTTCACTTCATGCTTTCAGTACTAACAGTAGATGCTTCTGAGCTTCTCGGGCCAAAAACAAAAATTCAACAACTTAGCAAAAAAAATGTTAATTTGGTTGTAACTTGGGTTGCTAGTTCAGATCTGTCTATTCATGTGTTAAACCAATTTTAAAAAAGTTCCCGTGACTCCATTTGGAGCCATTGAGCTAGTGATTATCGCTCGCACCTTCGCATGAAGCGGCAGTAAATATTCCGGTCGTCCTCATCTCAATAACAGAATTAAAATCCTGGGCTCCCTCCACAAGATTGAACCTCACTGAAGGAGAACGCACTTCCTTGTATGCTTTTTTCTCTATCGATTTACTTCAACCACTTATTAAACAAACAAATGGCACTCGAAATTTTTAACTCTTTTTTTTACCCCCTCTAAATACACCATACTTTTAATAAATATAATATTAGTATGTTACCAAAATTGCATTTACTAGTTTAACCGCAGGTTGTGCTAGTTCGAAAATAGTTAGAAACGCGTTCCGGGAGAAGTTCAGAGAAAGATGGTGCCATCAGTGCACAAGCCCTCAGCTCGCGGCCCTGAGGGCGCCATCTGGCAGAACTGGCAAGCACCTGGTGAGCATCATCTGGCAGAATACTGAACACACTCTGTGGTAAACTTACTTTACTAGGAAGCCGAGCGTTTGGAACAACATCACCGAGATAGGCACGTCATAGTGCTGAAGTTCTAACATCACCCTATAGACGCGAACGTGATTGGACCGAGTGCTGCCTCAGTGTTCGGCTCGGACTCTTGTCCTCACTGAACCGAGACGAGTCTCAGCCGAACACTAAAGCAAATATCGTGCCCAATCACGTTCGTTTCCTTTGGTGACTTTGATAATTCTGCACTACGGCCTTCTTATCTATACTTCGTTTCAGCTTCGGTCCGAGCGCGGCCGATGTCATGAGCCGAAGGGCCAATCAAAAAGCGCAAGAAGCGCAGCGTCATGGCGTGCTCTCTGCGCTTGATAGGACTAGCCGGCGGAAGAGCGCGCACAGAGAGACGGCGAATACCGGCTGGTCCTATCAACTGCAGAGAGCACGCCATGACGTTTGATTGGCCTTTCCGCTCATAACATCGGCGGCACTCAGACGGAAGCTGAAACGAACTATGGTGTGTGTTCTCTGGACCTGCCGGAGAAAGCTCCACACTCGCGGAGGCCACGGTGTTGATTGGTCAGTTTAGTACTTTGGCACCATTATCTTCCAGCAATTTCATAAGCCATGCAACTTGTAAAAAAAAATTTAAAGTGTCTTTAGACTTCCTTGGAGAGGGGTGCTCTCGGAAATGAAGTCGTATACTAATTCAAATCAGTTAATTGAACATATCCTGAATCTTCGTAACAGCACCCTGCTGTCTGACGCGAGCATGTTTCAAGGCACCAGGCTCATTAATTTATATCAAGCGATTGCATTGAAGTTGTCGATAACCGTAAACTTATTTTTAGGCGGCTAGCCGAGTTACTATTTATTCTCCGAAGATACGACAACCTGTGCTTTCCCATTTTTGTTTTATTTTTAGAGAACAAATCACGGAACACAAAAACACGCTGAATCCAGACTTCAATCGGGACTTCATCGATGGCTACCTAAAGAAGATAAAGGAAAGTGATTACAAGTCAGCTTCTCATTTCAATGGTAGGTTGCCACAAACCTTCCTTACAGTTGGCATACTTTCTAAGAAAAAAAAAATATCGGCGAGTTCGCTTTCCTGTAGAACACGAGAAAACCCATCACCACGAACAGTAGAAAAGACCCAAGCAAATGACGAAGCTCAAAATACGATTAGACAAAAAAATACGGCGCGCCCAGGAACAATGTGCACGACGTTTTCCTTTCAACATCGGATTGTGCAAATCAAATCGTATTGTGAGCGTCGCCATTCGCTGGGATCTTTATAACTACACCTTGATTTCTTATCTCGTGTTCTGCAGGAAAGCAGATTCACTGACCTATTTTATGGTGTAAAGAGCTTTATACAGACGCCGGGCGTAGCGAATCTGCGATGCATCCTATTGGCGCTCGTCAGCCAATCATATTGCGGCATTAGCTTACAAGGAGGTCAAAAAATCAATCATGAGGCGAAAAGCCTGAAAGTAATGCGGAGCGGAAGTTCGTCTACTTCTTGCGCAAAGGTTGCGATGATGTCAGAACACCGGGCTCTTATTGGCTGATTGAAAACAAATAGTGGGTGGGCCTCAAGACTTCCAGTATTGAGGTCTACCCACTATCCTTTCAATCAAAACCAATCAAATCTCGGCGTCGTTTTCACGTCACCGCAATTTCGGCGCAAGGAACAGGCGACTTGCTTTCCGTATAGGCCACGCTCTGCTTTTCCTTGGCTGTCAGTGACTATGTGGAGCTCAGGTTTGTCTGCTTATTTTGCAGGGCTTGTGGTAACGTCAGAACTTCGAGCTTTGATTGGCTCTCGCGTCTAAATATAATTCTGATAGTATGAAGGATTAGCACTTCTTGAGGCCATAAATAATGATCCTCATATCGTGTATTACTACCCACTCGAAACGTAACTCTGCTCAGATAAGGTACGTGTTCACTTATTTTACACAACTTTTTTTTATTGATGATTTTTTTTTAAATACCCCCAAAAAATAAATGTTTTTTTTTTTTGCGACTGTGTATATTCCAATGATCAGAAAAGCAAAAATGGTTGCATGAAAACACTTTTTTTTTAGGCATGTTGAGCTTTATTAATTCCCAAGTGAATTGAACGACATTGCCACGACAGCATGTTTTCTCTTTTGTTTTATTGAAAAAATTTAGCGCATTGGTTGGATCGTGGCATTGGTTACCACATCAGACATGAGCCCGAAGTAGTGATGTGAACAATTCAAAGCTAATGATGCCACTGGCAAAACGACGAATTTAAGAAAGCTGAGAGGATCCATCTCTTCTTTAAGAAATATTACGTGGTGTCCCTGAGACACTAGGCTCCTTTGCACCATCGATGTGTTTTTCCTTTTGTTCCATAACATATGCACCTTTTCCCATAGCCCTAAGTTGGCCCTCGACATATCGAGGGCAGGCTACCTGGCCCCCGCACTCGAATGAGTTTAAGACCTGAAGTGATCGATACGGGAGCGAAGTATGACCACCCTTGGGTGTATTGAACAATTCGAGTTCAATACCAAACTTGAATCCGATGTTCTCCTGTTAAATATTAAAGCAAAAACTTTACAAAGTCCACGCTAGGCGCGTGACCGAGTTACCGACGCTATGCGGAGCGCAAATTTGTCAGCTCCTTTTGCAGGAGTTGTGGTGATGTCCGAACGCCGAGCTCTAATTGACTCTGATTGAAGGATAGTGCGTAGACCTCGAAACAGTTTGTCTTGACGTCGACCCACTATCCTTGCAATCGAAGCCAATCAGAGATCGGCGTTCTGCCGGCACCAGAGCCCCTGTAAGAGAAGCAGGCGAACCTGCGCTCTGAATTAACTTGTGGCGCCATCTCCTGATAGGCGCGAGCAATGAGGACAGAACAGAGTACGTCGTCTGCTCGCTGCGTCTATCGGAAGACGGCGCCACAAGTTAATAGCGTCCAGAGCTCTGATAGCGTCGGTAACTTGGTCGTCTGCGAACGCGACGTCAACTTTCGCGAGGTTTTTTGCTTCGATTGTTTACTGGAGGATAACTACCCCTTCAGTATTCGCGCAGTAAAGGCTGACCTGCTCGGTGCACATTCGGGGAAAGTTTGAGCTTCCCATGTGCTTGCGTCGATTTTTCAAGCATTAAAGGGATACTGAACCGAAATTTCGAGCTCACTAAACAAGGCCGGGCGGATAAGGCGGGAAGCTGCAAAACCAAAAAATATCACTCATACGGCGATATATCTAACGGATCGCGTACCTTTTGGAAAAGAAGTGCGCGACTAAACCCGGCCGACGAGGCCGACGTGACAAGGCACGTCACAAAACAATTCCACCCCCCCCCCCCCCCCCAATTCTCTCTACTCCTCACTACGTCCCGTCAAGCTGGTGAACCGAAGCGAGCAGGAGAGAAGCGAGGCCGCTTCTCCTCACTCTCAAATTCTCCCGGAGGACAGTTACGTCAAAGGACTCGCTTGATCGCGCCCTTTTTTTCAAAAGTACGGCCATCCGTTTGAGATATTGATGTACGAGTGATGTTTTAGAGTTCGTAGCGTCCGGTTCAACACGTCTGCAGCCTTACTTTGCGAAATCCAAATTTCGGTTCAGTATCCCTTTAAGGAGGGAAGGTCTGCTTGGGATACCCTATTATTTCGCTCAACTCAACAACTAAACAACTCAACAGCAGAAAAGAAAACTAATGAACTGTCTGCCGAGACTATATGCTCCGTTCTCAACAAACTAAGACTATAAAATCTGCCTTCACTGTGAGCTTTCTGCCCTTGCTAACACAAATGTGAACGCGCAAGCACGCGTAACCAAAGCAGTGCGGAAGCCAGCGAGCAAGCGCTAAAGTAGGCGCATCTAGTCTAAACTTGCGGGTGAACGGAGAATAACAATTTTTTCCCCTTGCCAACCTCTCCTTTCATACTTTATGAAGAATCACCAGCGCCAGTTGGTAACACCCTCCCTAACTCAAAGGTACGGAGGGATTTACTAGTTAAAGGGCTAGGTCAGTTGTAAAGGTCAACATGATTATACGTAGTGCGTGGCCCCATTAACTGATTGCAAACGAGTACGAAATAAACGCTGACGCAGCACTTGTACCCAATTTGTGTTAATATCTCAAATGCACAAGTTTCGAGTTATCCGCCCCAGTTTTGTCCTTCCAATTCGTTTTCCGCCAACCTCTAAAGAGCCGTCATCAGGATGTTACAACTGCCTCCTACACAGACAATGGTAGAGTGATCAAAGTGACCAAACCAAAATATCGATCTCATAAGCCATTTTGGACACGCCCCTCTGCCGCAATGCATTGAGGGTTCTTTTGATCTTCTGTGCGTGCACAACAACCTCAAGCTCTGTGTCGTGCAGTGCACGCGACGGCACGAGCTGTTTCGCGCACTGTCGCCTTCCCTCAGTGAACTAAAGCTATGGCTGCATCACGCACGCGCCGAACGCGTGGTGAGATCGGTGAATTGCAGGAGGGGTCCATCGTGAAGTATCTAAACTTGAAAAAGCTGTCGCATAAATATAACAGCGCACCCCAAGTCACCCAGATCTAGTCTCACCCTGTAGTCCTTGAAATTACCAGTCGTTGTTATAGTAATTGGCAGCTTAAAATACGCGTGGTATGGCGCTTTTGAATGATGTTATTATTGCTGCGCCGCCAATAAAGTTTCCGCCGTAGCCGAAAGGGTTTCTAGAGTGCAGAGTCTGTTGTAACATATCGTTCTAAGAATCGCGTGGTGCCTCTATTTAAATCCAATAAAACCAAGTGTGTCTGTCAAGACACATTTAGGGTGATCTCCCTCGGGCTCAACAAGACGATAACGAAGACGTACCCCGTCGGCAGTGAAAATAAACCTAAGGAGGCGTCAGGCATGAGGGGTCAGCAGAACAGCCTGACTTTTAAGGTACTGCAAAACCCTTAATGTTCGCGAGCCCTTAAGTTTCGCGAATATTGCGAACTGACAAATTCGCGACATTTAAGGGCATGCAAAAATTTCGGACCTGAAGAGTTTCAATGCAGGCGTATCGAATTCGAGAAATTTAATGGCCGTGATTATGTCCTCTGTGACCGAGTTGCGAAGAATAGGGGCTGCGAAAATAAAGAGTTTTAAAGTATCTTCCTATTTCCGTTCACTGGTCACTCAAAAAAACTTGAACTTTTGAGTAGACAGACGTTAACACGTCCATCTTGTAGCTTGTTCCAAGTCTAGTCAGCGCTTCGAAATATTTAAGCCATTGCGGTATACATCTTTCTACAGAAAATAACCTCCTGGGAAATGCCGCGGAATTCCTTCTGACCGGAACCGGCCCTTCTTCGACTCGGATCTTCTGGTTTCTTCACATTTGTGCCCAGAATCCGAACTCGGTGCAGAACAGAATCCAGAGGGAAATTGATGATGTCGTCGGACCTCACAGGCAGCCTACATGGGAGGACCGCAAGAAGATGCCCTTCACCATGGCCAGCTTGAAAGAGGGACTGCGATGGAAGACGATAGGACCCATCGGGGGCTCCAGAGGGTAGGTATACGCCCCTTTATTGCCAAGCTTCCTTCTTGGAAGGGCTGTGAAACTCATAAAACTAATTACGGTCCTTGCCGTGCTCCAGGAAGTGAATTTCGGTAGCAGCCGAGACGCTACCCACTCCTCCAAAGTTAGGGGGAAAGTCGCCATTTGCTAGCGTCCTTGGACAAAGTCTTGAAACGTGCTCACGACGTACGGCAGGAAGTAGCCACTCACGCACTCCACTGAATGTTGTCAATGCCTCTCATGTTGAGATCATTCCCCAACCTCCAGAAAACGGGGAAGGGAATAGACGACAGCGTGGAGACGACGAGGAAAGCGTGGTTGATAAAAACGCACGAACGGGCCAAAACATTCACGTTTTTCTTTTTTTTTTAATGTGGTTTCTTTTTTGTTTTGTTTCTTGTTTGTGTGTGTGCGTGTGCACAGCAGAAGGGTTTTCTGTTTGGACAGTCCTTTACATTGTCGCGTGTGAACTTAGCAGAACGTTAGGACCCTTAATTTTAAGCTTAGTGGACTTACGTCCCGCTGAATTTGGCGGACGGTATCCATCTGAGACTATAGCATCACGTGACGCCATGACAGCACTTGACACGGACGTTAGGCGGCACCATGACGACATGAGACACTAAACTTAGCGGATACATTCCCCTAAGTTTAGCAGAAATTTTATAGACTAACTTTAGCGAGCAACTGTGACGTCATGTGGCATGACCTCACGTGACACGGTGACATAACAATGTCTCGACGCTGCGCTTTTGAAACAAAGCGCTTTGACACTTTTTAGGTTATGGTGTTTTAAATACCCTATACTGTAAAACTAGCTACTTTATTAGCATTTTGTTTTGCCCATGCTATGTGCTAGCAAGCGTAGTCGCATTGTCTCGACCTCATGTGAACCGCAACGTTGCACTTCATATTCTAAATTTTACGCGACCGAAGCTTACAGAGAAACCTTGTTGGTTTTCAAAGATACTGGGAAAGTCCATAAGGAAGTAAAAGGTTCTAAATGCCGTATCAGAGAATATTCGAAGGCGTCAAGATCTGACGCTGTTGCCCTAAGTGCCATGAGAACCTTGCTTCTATAGGGGGATTATGACAATGGTCAGCCATTTTAATTGGTTGCGACTTTCTTGCTCTTTAAGTGGGCATATACTGTTGCGATGCTTTCAAATGCGCAGCACAGCCTGAAATTCGTATCGTAGATCCAAGAAGGAGATTTTTTGTGGCGCTCTAAAACTAACAAAAATTGCACGACATTCGGATGCTCCGACGTAGGGGCCATGCAACGCTATTGGATTTAATTGTGTCTCACTTTACGCAATCATATGAGTACTAGTCTGACCCAAGTATGCTCGCACTTCACGACGGTAACCCAGAAAACTCTTTGTCGGGATGTAATAGGAAAAACGAAAACTATACCTTTCCCTAAGTTTATTTTTAGATTGATGGCGTAGCTGCGATGGTCCCAGTGTTGACGTATGCAGAGAGAAACTGAAAGATGAGATGAGAGCATTCGCTGACGTCAGAGTGATTGGAAGGATTAGTGAGTGGATGCTAACGCTGTCTGGCGTTGTCTTCATACTTACTGTCTCCCTCCAATCAGAGCAAACAATAACGATCGTCTGCTCCTCTTATAGGGTCTGGCGTTCGAACGTCGAACGCCGGCGTCTAGAGTCCCAACACAAGGCCGTTGGAAAGAATCAGACAAAGTTCTTGTTCGCTCTGATTGGAGGGAGACAGCAGTTATAGAGACAATGGCAGCTAGCCTTTGCGTCTGCCCAGTAATGCTTCAAATCAGAACTAAGCACTCTGACGTCACAGCAAGCTTTCCTTTTCTTCTCTCCCTCAGTTTACCTCCCCGCAGACCTTTTTTAGAGCGCAGCTCTTAGGCGCCCGTTTCCGGCTTGAGCGGCGTCGGCGTCGCCGTCGGCGTAACCAAGGTCACCCCAAGGTCATGCCAAGGTCACGTGACCCCCAGGTCACCCCAAGGTCACGTGACCTGGGGGTCACGTGACCCCCAGGTCACGCCCCTCTAAGGTCACCTCAAGGTCACGTGACCCCCAAGGTGACCCCCACGTGACCCCCAGGACACGTGACCCCTCCCAAGTTCACGTGACCCCCTGAGGTCACGTGACCCCCAAGGTCACGTGACCCCCGAGGTCGCGTGACCCCTTCCAAGGTCACCTCAAGGTAACGTGACCCCCCTCCCCATGGTCACGTGACCCCCACCCCTCCCCCCCCCCGAAGTCACGCGAGACCTCCCTTCCCCCCCGATGTCACGTGGCCTCCTCCCCCCGAGGTCAGGTGACCCCCCGGAGCATATTAAAAAATGAGGGGAGGAGGAGGAGAAGGAGGGGGAGGGGTCTACCCTCCCTTCAGTACCGTTCTCTCCTCCTCCTCAAGAGCTGCGCTCCAATTCGGCGTTACAGGGAGTTGTAAGCGGCTTTCACTTTTTTTTTACTCACTTACTATTGCCCACGCTGCTCGCGGATACAGTATGAAAGACGAAAGAAAGAAAATATTTTAATCTCGAGAAAGTTCGCCACCTTCCAATGCTCTGATGAAAGCAAAACTATGCTCTCAACAATACAGACGTTATGCCATTCATGACGACGACTACCCCGTAAAAATAAAACAAAATGTAAACCTCACTTGCACTGGACGTAATTGTCAAATGCTGGAAAAAGCGCCTTTTCATTCTTGCCGAAGTCAACGAATTTCATCATTTTTTTTTTCAAAGTGGGCTGCGAAAGTCATGGGCTCAGCAGCTAAGCTATGCCAATGACAGCTCATTTTACGCCAAGGCTTACAAAATACATCTGCATTCATCATGTGACCACGTCGCTTGACGTCAGGCAATATGGCATCACGGTGTCACGTAACATACTGCCACGTGACATGACGTCATTTCAGACCGTGCCGTTAGGGACGTCACGGAGTAACGTTACTTTGCACTATGTAACAACGTCCCTTGACGTCTTTTACTTCAAGTGACACCACCAGTGGTGTCACTTCATCACATCGTGTCAGGTCGGGTCATGTGACATAGTCACGATTTCACATGACACTGTTTCACGTGATGTGATGTTGATTCTACCGTGACGTCCCGTGCTTTATCAAGTTGTTCCAACAGCGATGATACAAACAACGCACCGTTCCTCGCACAATGTGATTGAGCATATGATATGATGGTATAATCAGAACTGTCAATCTTTGAATAAACAGTTGTTGTTCTTTAGATAACTACTAATATTCTTCAAAAGTTGAATTTGTAACGTCATCGCTTCGAATTCTTTTTTTTTTATGATTGAACATGCTTTTCTATCTACTTTTCAGAACTTTAAAAGACACCTTTATCGGCGAATACTTCATTCCTAAGGGAACTATCGTTTTGTTAAATTTGAGGGCGGTGCACAGAAATCCGGCTTACTGGGACAATCCCGACGAATTTGATCCCACAAGATTCATGACGAGTGACGGCAAATTGCTCGAAAAGAACGAGGATTACTTCATACCGTTCGGAGTCGGTAAGTGGATTTTGGAGATGTTATTTTTGAAAAATTTGTGATGAGCAAGCTAAGTCATGCTACTTATCCTAGAAATGTTTTCAAAACAGTCTCTACACGAAAAATACATTTTGACAAATTACAAAGGAATTTAACCAAGCTGTAAAGGCGGTATGTCCTGACTGATTTCTTAAATGGTATTTTAGGATTTCCTCTTATTAATATGCCGTAATTTCAGATACAAAAAAAAAATCGAAAAGTCTATTCACGTTCTAGACATTTGTGATACGATGACAAAATAGGCTGTTAACATTGATGTTCCAACATTTCCTATGAAATATTTATTCACGTCAAAGCGACTATATGTTACATTGCAAACGCCTAGAATTTTACAATTCTACATGACTATCAAGTTCTTTATTCACGAACAAATCAAAATTCAAAAAGAGTCAGCCATGGGTGATCGTCTTTATATTTCCATTAAAGAAATTATTCTCCTCTTAATAAAACCAAAAAGCATGCTTCACCTAATCTGTTAGTTTTAGGGCGAGCATTTCTTTTAGAAGATGGCATCTTTCAAATGCGCTCGTTCTGCCAAAAAGCGGTTGCTGAAAAATAACGTTTTACATAATTTTGTCAGGCCATTTGCTGAATTGCTTTCTTTCCTATAACAAAAGGAGCCTTCATACACAAGGATAATTCCAAATATTATTTTTTTGTAATAAAAGCTATTTTTAAAATAAATGCACGCTGTACGTACTATCGTTTTTTATAAAACTATGCGTAGCCGTTAGTGTTTTACAATGTGCAATATAAAAATAAATAGAACGCGTGTGCGTACGTGACTCGTATAACTCGCCTGCGTCGTATCGTGTACAGTTCTCTATTGAAAGAGAAATGTTAAAATAAATATTAAACTCGACATTACGATCTCGATACATTTTAAAGATTAATATCCCTAGTGAAAAACAAATTTAGCTGCAGTATAAAAAAGTCCAAGAGCGGTTAATGTACTAAACACTCCTTACTAATTGAAATTTCGATGTTTGAGTGCCATCAACCCTGATATGAAAAGTAGACTATTAATGACGGCTCCAAAATGATTCACGTCATGGATGTTTTGAACGCTGTATTCTAGGCTCAGACGACGATGGCTTTTAGTTCCATACCGCCGCGGCTTTGTCTATAATAGATCCCCACCTACATTCTATGTTCTTGTGAAAATGCACCAGAAAACTAACAGGTTATTGTATTTAGTCTACTGGCTTGACAATGGAACACGCAGCAGCCAGTATGCAGCATTTTTTATGACTAAGCAGAGTGATTGCATTTCGTTGATTGTTTACGTTCATTTAAACGCTGTTATTCCTCCGGTTATACTTTACTTATTTTTTCTAGGTAGAAGAAATTGTCCGGGCCAGGTTTTAGGCAATGCCCAGATGTTCCTGTACACCACAACACTGCTTCAGAAGTTCAACATTTTTCCTGAATACCAGGACCAGCTGGAGAGCATCGGTTCCCCAGACCTAGCGACGGCTGATCCCCGTGTTCAAAAATTGCGCTTTGTCCCGCGATAATTTCCCGGCCAAGAAGCAAAATATGCAGCTGTCTTATACGTGAGGACGAAATAAAATCAAGTATTACGATATCTCACTATGTTTGAAGATTATGGACACGCTTGGTGTAGAGGCTTTTCGGGTGTTGTGTATGGGCGCCGCCATAACTGACCTTCATTTATGTTTTCTTTCATTCTGTTCACTTGGCTTCATCACTTTGGTTCCGTGAGAAGTTGTTTACCTTTTTGACGCCACCATGATGTTAACCTCATAGAGCGTTTTCTTTTTTATATAGATTTGTTTCTGCTAATTTTTCTGGTTGGTCATCTGGGCGAGGCAGTAATAGGCCAACTGTGGCGGCGCGAATCTGGTACAGGTGAAAATGGTCTGTAGCTCATTCCTGTAACAAAGAGGACAAAACGAGGTTCTGGTGGCTGGGGCAAATTAGTGCCAGACATTGATTTGGCTTCCGCTTTTATGTTCCCAATACGTGCCACTTGGTTTTTAAGGAGCCTTCACATGTCTCCACAACCTTCATCTTTTTTTCTCCCGCTCTCGCTATGTGACATTGTCCAAATGTCATGACATTTCTAGTATATTAAAACGAATCAATACTTGGTGTGTGATCAAAGTGCATTCGGATAAACACAACAGGTGTATAAAACAGTCAGTTGCCTGCTCGTTAGCGAGGTGTAGCTTAGTGACCTAAGTCCCCGTCCTCCTCCCACATTGCCCTTCCCCACCCCCCCCCCCCCTCAAAAAGGACATTCACATTTCTTTTTAACTTTACGTTTCAGAAAGTGTAACAAGTTTGCTTTATACTACAGCAAAAACTAATCTTGCTGGGAACATTCTTTTCTACGCAGGGATTAAACCTTGTCTGTAAAAAATATCATTGAAATAATTAAAGACGATTACAATTCCTTGTAAAGAAGAATTAGAGCACAGCACTTGAGGAGAAGGAAGGGAGGGTATGGAGGAGGAGGCATCCCTTCGTCGTGACCTTCATGAATGACCGTGATGTCACGCGTGACGTCATTATGAGAAACGTTCAATAATGCAACGCGCGGGACCCCCGTGACGACACGTGTGACGTCATTAAGGGAAATGTCCCATACTGCAACGCGCAGGTCACGAGTGAGACCCGGGCGTTGCATTATAGCACGTTTCTCGTAATGCTGCGCGCAGTTACGCCTACGCCGACGCCGACGCCGCTCCAGCCGGAAACGGGCGCCTAAGAGGTGCGCTGTAAAAAATCACTGCACCAGGCAAGCATAGACGCTTTACAGCAACTATGCATGGAATCATTCTGGTATCACGTGAACGCCGCCCTAGCCTCATGCTCACCTCCACTTTTTATGTCAGTGCAGTGCGTCTTCTGCTGTGCCCGCTACTACCGGAGCTTTCCTCTCGTGTTTTAACGCATTCTAAACTCATTTTATTTATTTCATTCATTGATATCGTCAGCCCGTGAGGTTTTTTACAGGGTGTAAATTACAACTTAAAAAAAAAACACATACATGCAACCAGAAATAGTAAACCAACTATACAGACGGTCAATAAAAAAACGCCAGCAGCGGATCAACAATGGCCAGAACCCTCAGAGTTCCACGGTTAACCTTGTTAACAACTTTATTTCGTGTGAGGACTAGCTGTATATTATTCCTTTGGTTTGTGGAGGACAATATATAGCAAAAACGGGGAGGTACGTTAACCACCGGCTTCGATAGCACCACTTAGAAGTGTCGCGGTGTTCTACGGAATCGTACCACCCCATCGTCGTTCATGCCCCCACTTGTCATGACTGTGCACGGTCTTTCTATCAGACTAGAGTTGTAGTGAGGCACCAGAGCAGATACGGTAGAGAAATCAACGAATCATACACAATGAGCATAGTCCAAAATAACATCTCCGCGGCTTCCCTGCGTCTTTCTAAAGCTGAAATTGAATTCTTGACGCCAGAAGTGGCCCGGATGCACGTCCATTCTCCACCCCAATTCAAAAACGTAGTTTTTAGGGCAAATCTTTTTTTCTTTCTTTACTTTTTTTTCTTCTTTTTATAGTTTTTAAACGCGATTAAATAACTTTACTCTCCCGATTCACACGTTCCTTTCGCTCACTTTTTTACCGAGAGGTTGGACTAGACAAAATGACTTTGGAGTGATTTATGTTGTTGCGAGGTGAAAGATTCGCCACCCGTCCCAAATGTGTGTTTCATTCTTTCAGCGCCAATTTCTATGTATAATAAACGCTTAGGTCAAGTGGTAGAAAAATATTAAAAAATCACACACATTCACCTCAATCGACACCACCAAAAAAAAATAATAATAATGTCACAGACAAAACGCGATATCTAGGGCGCATCTCAAACAATATTTTCGATGCATTTGAAAAAAATTCACTGAGGGATGAAAATGACATAACTTTATCGGCGAAGCATTTCACTTTTTGATTGGTCTATGGAATGAACTTAATTTAAAATAGTCATTACGAACAGATGGATTTGAATAAACATGGTGAGGTGATGCCTTAAGGATTTGCTTGAGGGTGTTTCGACGTCACATTGTACAATGAGTATACAGGTAAATTTTCCTTTAATTGCTAAATGAATACATGTGAACGTTTTGTTCTTGGGAGGAAGATTCAGGTACATGTCAAAGCCGTGGCTAAAGTTTTCCTAGATATATTCAATTGAAAATCTCGAGGCGTGAACATTGCCGAGATTTCTCTAAGGCAATTTGCACTGCCGCCAATGTCAAGACAACTAAGGCAAGTTGGTAAATTTTTTTTAAATATATTTATAGACAATTTACAACAAGCACACCATATACTAAAATTCGCTTTAATTTCGCAATACAAAAATTTGTAAACGTCTTTTAACTTTTTTTTTAATTAAGCTTCGCAATAAAATACGGCAAAACGATATATTCTAACCTTGTTTCGGCAAACACCCACGTCAAACCAAGCACATGGAGGTTCGTTGTTATGAAACTCAGCTGTCTCCAATGGCTGTCGAGAATTAGTGTTGCTCGCGCTGACAGCATTTTTATTCCACTAATTTACGCGAACTGCACAGCACGTGATTTTGGCGGATCTTGAAGGACCACAAAAGCTAAAGAAGAACATATTTAAAGGCAGTTTTTTAGTTATCTAAGTTGTTCGTGTCATTTACGACTGCCTGCACGGGAATATTGGATTCCAAAGTGACCCCCACCCCCTCCCCCATCCTCGTTGTCACCTGCAGAAAAGTGGTCATTGCGCAGCGGCTTGGGGTCGTCACTTTGCCCAAAGGCTAGTCACTCGCCTTTCAGGGTAGTCAAAGCCTCCAAAACGCCATTTTTACTAACCAGTGTAGTCACCCTTTTGTTATAGTGTGGCCACTGGTGTCGCGGCCACTCTACCGTGCCTCTGGACCCTAAGCCAAGGAGCCTTTTTTTTTCTTTCCGCCTTCTTTTCTCCTCAGAGATTGCTTCCTTTCATATCTTCATCTTATGCAATCCGGTGTCGCACACTGTGTTCAACCTGTAGATAAGTGAAAAGCTCGCGTCACAACAAAAATGTCGTGCCAGCTGGTGAAGCAACAAAACCTCTTTATTCGGAATAAATAAAGTCATTATACAAATGCAATTTAGCAAGCCTAACCGGGGCTAAAAAAGAAATATTCCAAGGATACCTAAGGACTTCTTATGAGTTATGCATGCGGAAGCATGCACGTCATTCTTCCGCTCCCTTAGTTCGTCTGCGGCGTAGTGCCGTGGACGGCCAGGTTTCGCTACTACCGAGGTTGCGGCCGTCGACGATATAGATGCCTCAGGCGCCGCCATGTTCCTCGGCGCCGAGAGAAGCAAAGCGGCCGCAGTCCCTCAACCCCCCCCCCCCCCCACCTCCCCCCGCAACGCCTGACACGAGAGCGGCGGCCGAGCGCGCGCTGTCGTGAAGCGGCCGCAGCCCCCCCCCCCCCCCCCCCCCCCTTTTCCGGAAAGGCGTGACACGAGCGGCGGACGAGCGCGGGCTCTCATGAACCGGCCGCCAATGTCTATCTGGGAGCCGTTTCGGCCAGCCATTGGGAGAATGGGAATTTATTTTGCGTTCTTTCGCGGTCAAAGACCGCCGCCGGCTCCGCTCAATGGAATAGTTAATGTTTTCGCATTAAAAAGTTCACCAACAACCGGGAATTGCACCAAACCGAGCGGAGCACGTAAGAGACGATGTGACGCTACTGTGCCCGCAAACCTCCAGACCGAAACCGAAACCACCCAAGAACCCTTGGCGTTGGACGCGCCATCTGTGAGAAGCGGTTGCAAACCGCGGCGTCCCGTCCACTGCTTCTCCCGAGCGGCGTTCCCTCGTAAACAAACAAGATTATTATTTTTTTTTATTTCTAACATTTTGTTTTGGTAATGGTAAGTGTGGAAACTTTGGCTTCTTGCTCGAACAACTGGGCCTACGTTCTGGTGGAGTTTGAGCTCTCCGCGATGTGTTGTTTGTTTTTGCGGTGCGAAAAACCGGGTTTTGCATTTCTTGGAGACATCCTGTATGTATTGCTCCAGGGCACAATATTACTACATCATCAGCGATAGCTGCATTTCTTGCGTGGGCTTACGAAGTATGAATACATTTGGACAGAACGCTGAAATGCTCCCCCCAACAAGGTAAGCTTAAGAGCATCGTCATAAACGAGGCGCGTATAACTTATGCCTTTTCCCGAGAGGCTGGAACAGACGGGATGTCGGCGCTCGAAAAATGAGGCCATAAAATGCACGCGTGTGCTGTGGAGAATCGTTGACTGCAGTAGATTATCTGTCTTGTGCAGCAAAAACAACAGGATATGTGCACAGATTGCTCACAGGATGTGCCGTTCAAAGTTTATGTTATAGTCAGCAGTAAACTAGTAGAAAATGTTGAGAACATCCTGAGACTAGTTCGCGCTTTGGGTGTTGTGTATTGTCCTACCGGTATAAAATATCACACGAGTGAAAGCGCCAACGGATTGGGCCCACAGATTTTAGTCGAGTGCTATT